TCCTGGGGCTGAAGTGGGCAGGGGGTGAAGAGTGAGAACGGACATGCCCATGTGTTGGCAGTGCCACTGTGCCAGCAGCCCCATGCTACTGAGCTTGGGCACCTCTGCCAAACCCCAGCTCCTTCAGCACTTGGGATGGGTGGTTCCTGCTCCAAATGAGCTTAATCACCTTCCTCTGGGCTGGGATTGCCCTTGTTGGGGTGTCAGAGCTGACACGTTTCCCAGTTGGAGCCGAGCCGGGAGGAGCACGAACACCAAGGTGTGTTGGGAGCCTGTGCCTGCAGTGGGATGGGTCGGCTCCCTGGAGGTGCCAAACCCAGGCAGCTCTGGGCCTTGGCATCCTTCCCTGCCCAGCCTTGGGCAGGAGCTGAAACCCGGAGTTTGGATCCCCCATCTGTTTGGATTTTGTATAACCCCAGAGGGTGCCAAGCCCTCCTGACCCCCCTCTCTCACAGCTCACGGGCACCCCCGTCTCGGAGCGCGGCCCCCACCTCCTCAACGCCCTCAACAGCTACAAGAGCAGGTGAGTCCCGGGCGAGGGGACAGGCTGGGATGCAGGATACAGGATGCTCCTGTACCTCCCCCCCCCCCGGCTAAGGGCTGTTCCCTCCCCTCCAGGTTTCTGTGCGGGAAGGAGATCAAAAAGAAGAAATGCATCTTCCGCCTGCGGATCCGCGTCCCACCGAACCCCCCCACCAAGGTGCTGCCGGAGAAGGGCCCCGGCGAGGGCGAGGGCGGCTCCTGCGAGCTGAAGAAGAGGGGGAAAAGCAGATGTGTCCACAAGGACGGGTGAGTGGCCACGTGTGCCCGGGCACCCCCTGCAGCAGTGCCCCGTGCCCGCTGCCCCCTCACGCCCCTCTCTGCAGGCTCCTGCCACGGCAGCTGCAGCAGCACAAGCGGCGAGCGGCCAAGCGCAAGAGGGCCAAGTTCCTGCTGGAGGACGCCATTCCCAGCGTGAGTCCTTCCCCCCCTCCTCTGTGCAACCGTCCTGGGATTTGGCAGATGAGTGGGATCCCTGCAGCCCTGTCTTGAGGCTCCCTGCAAGATTTCCCCACTCCTGCGGGCAGGGAGAGCCCCTCTCTCTCCCCCTGGGAAGTTGGCTTGGCACGGAACACTTCCTGGGGTGGCAGGGGCACGAGCAGGAGGGTAGTGGTGCCAATGTGGAGGGCACGGGCAGCACCCCTCTGCCAGGCAGTGACGAGTGAGCTTGTTTTTGTGACACAGAGTGACTTCACCTCTGCCTGGAGCACCAACCACCACCTGGCCAGCATCTTTGACTTCACGCTGGATGAGATCCAGAGCCTGAAAAGGTCTGTGGGGCTGGGCCGGGGGTGTGGGGGGCCAGGGGTGCCGCTTGTGCCAGGCTGGGGCTGACACTGCATCCCATCCTATCCTATCCCATCCTATCCCATCCCGTCCCCAGTGCCAGCTCAGGACAGACATTCCTATCGGACGTGGACTCCACAGATGCCGCCAGCACCTCAGGCTCGGCCACCACAAGCCTCTCCTATGAGTCCAGGTGAGGGCTGTGCCCTTTGCCCCCTCTCAGAGGGGTCCCAGTGGCATGGCCAGGAGGGCGAGGGGCTGCCCTCTCCCCCCACAGCACCCTCGTGTCCTGGCACAGGGATGTCCCACGTCAGGCAGCCTTTGCTCCCTGTGTCCCAAACCAGGCAGGTGGTCCCAGAGCGGCCCTGCTTTGCTGGGTGTGCGGGGTCAGGGCCCTCAGTCCTCGCTGGGCTCCCTCAAATTCCCGGCACGGTGTGGGGCACCTTTTGGGAGCCGCCCTCACCCTGCTCTGTCCCTCCCTGGCAGCCAGAGGACCGTGGGCAGCCGCAAGCGCAAACTGGCAGCGCCAGCGTACGGCTCGGCGGGGGCGAAGCGCAGGGCAGGGGACGGGGGCGGGCGCCCGGCCCTGGGCACCCCCGAGGGCAGCGAGGCCCCGGGCGGCCCCGAGCGCCCCGACGACGGCATCGACAGCCACACCTTCGAGAGCATCAGCGAGGACGACTCGTCGCTCTCCCACCTCAAGTCCTCCATCAGCAGCTACTTCGGGGCCGCGGGCCGGCTGGTCTGCGGGGAGAAGTACCAGGTGCTGGCGCGGCGGGTGACGCTGGAGGGGAAGGTGCAGTACCTGGTGGAGTGGGAAGGCACGACCCCCTACTGAGCCCTGCCGGCCCTGAGACCTCTCCCGGAGCCAAGCCAGAGGAGATCAGGGTGATGGGGAAGCCCTGGCCTCGAGGCAGAGGAGGGTGCTGGGTCCCCGCCGGGAGCCTCTGCGGGTGGAGGCCGTGCCCACGCCGGCACCGCCAGTGGTGCTGCCCAGGAATGGAACCTGAAGCCTTGACGCTCTTTTATTTTTATTTTTTTTTTTTAATTTTAACAATTTTTAGTTTCTTGGCCAGTTTTTTTCCTGGCTGTGAGTGTGGCCCAGCCACACTCTCCTGGTGGTGGAGCCTTTGGCTGAGCCCAAGGTACCATCATGGTGGTGGTAAGAGCAGTGGGTGGCTCTGGCCCCTCCAGAAGGGTCCCCCTGGCACAGCTGGGGAAGCCACTTTGGGGGACACCCCACAACCTGCTCGCACAGATGGACGTCAAAGCCTGACTTATCCCTGCATCCCAGCCTTACAGAGCAGCCTCGAGGGGGTCCTGGTGCCAAAGCACAAAGCCCCCCCTCACCCCAGTGCTTTCACAGCCCCTCACTGTGCCTGCAGGAAACAGGGGGCGACCCTTGCGGTTTTCTGCCTCATCCTAAATCCATTCATTAAAGGAATATGAGGTGAGTAAACAGCCCACATGTAGCTTTCATGCCCACAGGGCAGGCATAGGTGGCTGCTCTCATCTCATAACCTGGACTGCCTGTGATGCTGCACCAGCTTCATTTCCCTGTTCTGACAATCGTGATCCTGGAAGAGATTGGCCAAAAGATCCTCCTTTGCCTTAAAGCCACCATGGGCACTTCACAGACTGGAGCCCGAGGCCTTTGTTCTCGCAGGAGCCTTCACCTTGAATGTGCCAAACCAGCAGACAAACCAAAAAGGCTGAAGAGGACAGTGGGGACACATGGAGGGGGTTGTGCCAGTGCCTCACTGGAGAGCAGCTGATGTTTGTGAACAGGTGGGGTTGATTTGTCTGCAGGAGACAAGGAACAGTCCCCTTCTTTAACAAAGCAATACTGCCAGGTTGGGCAGGAGCAAAGCAGTTGGCTTTTTAAAAAAGATTCTAATATCAGATATATTTGTTAGATTTTTTTTTCTTAAGATATATATATATATTTTTAATGTTGTCCTCCTCATCTCTCCCCCATCCCACCATGGCTGTCCCATGGGATGGAGGGTGGGTGATGCTGGGTGGGCTGCGTGGTCTTGCTCCATCAGCAGATCCTGTCCTGCAGCCCCATCACTGTCCATACCTGTGCTTGTGGGATCTGCTGACCAGAGGGTGAGTTGAAAAGGTTGTTTTACTGAAAAAGTACGGAAAAAAATTCTCAGTGTAGTTGGCATGAGAGGCCAGGTGGCCTTTGCAAACCAGAGGCCCAAATGTGGTCCTTAAAAGTAAACTTCTGCTGCAGCTACTGCTGAAATAACATAGTGGGATACCCGTGCTGTGGTGCAGCAGCTTCTCTGCAGCCTGGGATGTGGTTTGGGCCAGGCAGGAGCTGGTTCAGTGCCTGGAGAAGGAGCCTGAGTATCTGGCTCTGGGTCAAAGCACTGTCACTCCTTCCTCGGGGCTGCCCAGTGCCCTGTGCCCGGTGCTGTGCTTGGGGGAGAAGCTGTTGGCCCCTTGTGCAGGGACAGGTTTGGGAGAGAAGGCTCTGTGCAGCTCCCAGCCATGGGATGGTTTGGGCTGAGGGGTCAGATGTGCCTTGGGGAGCAGTGCTTGGCACCCTCAGGGTCTGCATCCCGGCTCATCCAGAGGGGAGCATCTCCGGAGGGACCCCGTCCTTTAGGGATATGTGTTGCCAGGACCACCATCCCTGGCAGGGAGGGGTCCAGCAGCTGGATCACTCCTGGTCCTGCCTTGGCTTTGTCACCAAAGGATCACTTAAAATATTTCCCTTCCTCGAGTGCCTCTGGAGCCCTGTGCCTGTGGAGCCCCTGCCAAGGGCTGTGCCAGGGCCGAGCAGGGTCATTCCTGTGGGATGTGCCAGTGGACATCACAGTCATGGCAGCACCCACAAGATGTGGCTCTGGTTCCTCTCTGTTCCCTCTCATTCCCTCCTGGCTTCTTGCAGAGAACTGAATGTGGAGCCTTTAAAAGTATTTTTGTTGCAGAGTATATTTTGCATTCGCTGTAATAGAGATTATAACGACTCTGTGCACCTTCTGATTTCTGAGTTCAGGTTGCTGCTTGTAATAACCAACTCTCGTTATACCCAAGTTGTAATTAATATGTCTGATGTTCTGATGTACAATTAAAAAGTCCTTTTTTTTTTTTTTTTTTTTTTTTTACATCACTTTTATTTTGTAGTGTGAGGATTATTGGGTTTGGGCTCTTGGGGGGATGCCCAGTGCCCACCACGGAGCTGCTGGGTCATGTTCTGTGCCAGGTGAGGTGTGTCCTCCCCTGGGAGGTGCTGCTGGGAAGCACAGGGACAGAAGGGTGGGAAGGGATGAAGGTGGGGAGTGAGGGAACGGCGGGGGACAGGGACACTCCTTGCAGGGATGAGTTTTGTAGAGAGGGGTTGCCTTCATTGGTGAGGTCCCAAATGGCCCCATCCACTTAATCTTAGCCTAAAACTGGCCCATTGCACACATAGCCCTGACAGGGCTAAACAAAGCTTAGCTTTGGGTGCCGTGCAGGTCTGGGGGGTGGTGGTGCTGCCTTCATGTGCTCTGTTTCTTTTTGCCAGACAAGGGGCCTTGCTGGTGCCCTGTTCCTTCACATTTGGCACTGCCAAGGTTCCTCCTCTCAGAGCTCAGACCATTTTTCCTCTTGGCTTCTCTTTCCTGCCCCTGTGAGCCTTCCTCCTGCTTCCTCTCATGGCTGATGGGGCCACACAAGCCCACAGGCACAGCTCCCAGTGCCTGCAGAATGCCCTGGCTTGTTTCTCCAGGGACCTGGAATGAGCCAGGTGGGAGCATCTGTCAGCACTGGTCTGGAGAGAGTCACTGCAAGCCCAGGACGGGCCTTTCCTCCTGCCCAGCTCACTGAGGACACCACACAGCAAACTGTGACCACACCTGAGCCTGCCCAGGTAAGAAACACTGCTGTTTATTCCCTTCCCAGTCACATAAATCCTCAATATTCTATAAGTTATATCCCATTAAACTATTAATGAGCATCTTTTTACAAGATTAAGCTTGGCCTGGGCAAAAAGCCACCGTTCAGGCTGGGTAAGGGATGCAGGGCTGGGGTAAGGGATGCAGGGCTGGGGCAATGTCCTGGTCCTGTTGGCACTTGGGTTCCCTGGACTGGCCATGGAAGTTGCCCAGCTCATCCCAGCTCTCCCCAGCTCATCCCAGGGCAGGGCAGGGTCACACATGTGCTGCTTGTGGCTCCTGGTAGTTCCTTGTGGCATCTGCTGGAGTTTGCTGCTTCCTTGGGCTCTGTGAGACTCCAGCAGCACGTTTCCTGACAGCAGGAGAGGGCGGGAGCCTGCACGTCGCGGGGTGCCCGGCCACATCCTGCTGCCTCGGGCTGGGGAAGCAGGAGGCAGAGCGGGGCAGGATGCTGGGAACGAGCAGGGGGGCCAGGCAGGGTTCAGGCACTGGCTGTGGGCACACATGGAACTGGAGGGGCTGCCAGGCCATGGCTTCCATAAGGAATTTGCTGCTGGCAGCATGAAAGAGCCCCCAAATGCGTCCTGACACGAGCATCTCTGTCTCCTCATCCGCAGTGGTGCAGGGAGCAGCCTTTCCCTCTTCAGCCTGCACCAGCTCTGGGCTGCTCAGTCCTCCCTGGTCAGGCCAAGGAGGGGATGTTTCCAGTGCAAACGAAATTCCCAATCCCAAACTCCTGTGTTACAGCAAACCCGAGAAGGCAGAAGCTGCCTCCTCACAGGTAGGTCCTGCCCGCCCAGGGAGACCCGCGTGGCTCAGCAGGGTCCGCCCAGTCTCCCAAAACTGAGGTGACCTTTCCAGTCAGTCCCGTGGGACGTTTTCCTCGATCCATTTGAGGTAGAGAGGGTTTCCTTGGTCAATAGGCAGGCTGATGATCTCAGGGATTTCAAAGGGATGGATGGATCTAAAGTGGAAACAGCCGCAGAGGAGCAGTGTCAGCACAGTCCCGCCCCGCTCCCGGCGCAGGAAGCCGAGCTCTCGGCTCCCAGCCGCTCATCCCAGCCCTGCCCTGCACTCCCCACGGACTTCAAAGCACCCACAGCTTCTTTTTGCCATGTGGGAATTTCTCTTTGAGTTTGGGGTTTACCACAGGCAGCAGCCCACTGCCGGGGGTCTGGCCCAAAGCTGGCTGTGCTCGCCCCTCGGGGCTTGGGGAGCGCAGGAAATCCCAAACTCGAGCAGGAGAGGACAGCCTACCTTGGACTGGATCCCCAGTGCTCCCACAGAGCCAGAGCCTCACCTGACGTAGTTGGACAATTCCCCTATTTTGGACGTCCTGGTTTTCACTATCTGTGGAGAGTAAAAACACCAAAACAGAACCCAAGGGAGATTGGAAAGGGACAGAGAGATCCTGCACCTGCAGTTCCACTGCTCCCATCCAGCACTGCCATGCCCACAGACAGGTGTTTGGGATCCCTGGGTACATTCCAAACCACGGACAGGTTGGTGCCACCCTCCCCCAACCTCCCTGCAGCCCTTTCTTGCTGGGGCCATTTGTGATGGGCGTTTTGTGAGGTAGGGAACAATCACTTACCAGCAGTATTTCAGTGGATTCTTCCAGTTCCCCTTTCCAGAAGTACCTGGATTTAAAAGAAAAGCAGCATCAGCAGATACAGCTCTGTCTGCAGCCCTGCCAGGCCCTCCAGGGTTATTTTCCCTGCTTGGTGCTTTCTTGCACGTGGCCGTTTCTTTACAAAGTGGCTCAAGAAGCATCGCTGGCCCCAAAAGTGCTGAGCACGTGACTGAGCACCCCAGATTTATGGACCAGAGACTCCTTGGCTATGCCAGCCTCCAGAGAGCTGCCCAGGGGGGATGCCAGGGCAAATTTGCTGGGATTGGGGTGTCTATGGGGGTCTGTGGGGGTGGCCCTGCCCTGAGCAGCGGCCGCGGGACGGCGCCTGCAGGGACTGTGCTTGGGAGGCTGAGCACGGCAGCATCCCGCTTTCCTCCCCTCCTTCCCTGCAGGAGAGGAGATGCACTTCTCATGAGTCAGATATGACCTTTGCAAGCACTGCCAGAAGGCCGTGGTGATTTCATCTGCGTGCCGGGCTCCTGCGCCGGGAGGACTCGGAGGCGTCGCGGTGTCTCCCGAGCAGGGCCCAGAGCAGAAACCAGCTGGAGCAGCCAGGGCTGTGCAGGAGCAACTCAGCTCGGGCTGTTGGGGCTCATGGGGAGTGAAGGACGAGGGGAAGAAGGTTATCATTGGGTTTGCCCTAATTCAGCAGCCTGTGCCTGGCTATGGGAGAGCCTGAGGGGTGCACTGTGAGGACCCCTGGGGCAGGGAGGCTGAGGTAGGATCTGCTCCCCTCTTCTGGCAGGGCCAGGGTGTTCCTATGAGGAAAAAGCTGGTTTGGGGCTTTGCTCTTTAACCCCTCTTACAAGTGCAATCCCTTTGTGTGGACAGCTGAGGGCACCTGCAGAGCAGGTTGTGTTTCAAGGTCAAAGATCCTGAAAGTGCTGCTTAAGATTGTAAAGGCCTTTTCTGGTCCCTCTTTGGGCTTCTTTTTAGAGCCTCTAATAACAGGCACTGTGTCCTCAGGACCATAAATCCTAGATTGCTGGATCTCCCTGTAGCCAAGTAACCAATAAACAAATGGTCCCCACAGGCAGTTGGAGCATCTGCACTCCTTAATAAGCCTGGAGCACGGTGAGGCTCCTCTCCCCCATCTGCACCAACAAAGACCCAGCAGCCTTGTGGAAACTGCCTCCTCTGCCCAGGGCCATGGGGTGTCCACCTCCTCCCTTCCTCCCAGGAGAGCCTGGGTTTGCCTCCTCCACAGGGGAATGTTGAGCCCAACTTACAAGGCCGAGCTCTTGGGCAGGATGTTCACCTGGGCAGCCAGCTTCTTGTCCATGATGGCCCTGGGGGAGACAGGAGGGGAGTCAGTGCCAGCCCAGCTGAGTGCCCAACCCCAGATATTCCCTCATGCTGCCCTGGACTGCCACCAGCAGTTGTGACATAAGGAGACATGGAATTTCGGGTTACTTATTACCCTGAGAAAGCTGAGGCAAAGGTGACCTTCAGCTGGAGCTGCTTCAGCTCAGGCCCTCCTGACAGTGCTCTGGGACCGTCCCTGCTGTCCCTCTGTGCCAAGAAGGAAAGTTGGGTGTCTTTCCTGGCCTGGGTGGTGCCAGGACCCTGCCCAGTGTCATCCCTGTGCCCCCCTGGCTGTGGGGACACCAGGACAGGGACTGAGCTGTGGGACCACAAGAACCGGGGCTGGGATGGACAGGAAGGGGTTTGTCTCCAGCTCATGTATTTACACTGTCAAACTGTGCCTCTTCCTCACAGAGCAGCCTCAATGTGGATCTTGTTAAATTAACAACATCAAGGTTTTTCTACCCAAAATGTCCTAGAAATCTGAAGCCCAAACAAATTCCTTCCCTCCGGCAGCCTCCGTTACTTGTGGGCTGGTTTGTTATTGCAGAGCTGCCTGGCTCTGCCAGCAGAAGTGATATTTCAGTGATTACAGAGTACTGAAGTGATCTCAGGGTGGATTTTTAGAAGAAAGGGGCAAATGATGTGTTTTGTGACCACAGCAATGCCTGGCCCTTCTCAGGGAGATGCAGCCCCAGCCCTTGCAGGGAGCTCCTTCAGAGCATTCAGTGACCTCACCTTTGGTTTTCTTTAACACTGACCTCCCCAGGAACTACTTCGTACCAAGGGCTTTGGCAATGCAACATTTAACTTCTAGAGGACCCTAAACTGCAGAGGAGACATTAGTTATCAGATATTGGAGGGCTTGATTCAACAACCTACAAAAATTAACTCTTGGTGAGGTAAAGAACTAAACTCATTCCAAGTAATTACTGCTCTAATTCAAAACTCTCTCCAGGATGTTTTTGGCTCAGAGCAAGTTAAAGTTTTTTTTATCCTTACATTCAAGGTATGGTACAACCTGGAGGAGACTACAAACAAACTCTAAGGAGCTCTTGCTGGGAGGAAAGCAGCCCTTCCCAATGATCCTACAACATCTTGCCACTCCAGAAGTTCACTGGAGAACCAGTGCCTGGACATGGATAACTCCTGGGATGGTGTTTAATGTTTACAGACAAAGGTTATGGACATGGACTGGTGGCTCAGGGGACCATGGCCAGAGAGGGGAGCGTCTGAGGAGGCTCAGGATTGTTTGCTCTCACCATGTGTGGGCAGTTCCAGGCATTTAGTGCTGGTGGAGCATCTTGAGTTAATCTTCAGACCAACAAACTGCAGCAGCACGAGCAGAGACACCCCTGCTGTGACTGTCGTGTCACACATGGCACAAATCATTTCGGTTTTGCTGCCTGCAACTTGCAAGTCGCTTTAGCACAGGAGCCTTTCAGTTTGGGTGCTCTGCCCCTGCAAACTGAGGTCCTGAACTTGGTTCTAGCGAGCTGAGCAGGAAAAAGTGGCCACCATGGGAAAGGGGAACATTATAAGAAGCTGAATGTGATCTGTGGAAAACGACTGCATAATACATGATAGCTTTGGGTTGGGCACTTAATGTGTGTTTCTTTGTCCTTGCCTCCCAATAGAATCGGAATTGAGTCAGATTAAATATTAATAAGCAGAAAAGCAAAGAAAATGATACACGCAGACCTAAGGCAGCAGTGGGGGCTGACAGGCTGATTAGGTGTGGGGTAGGCTGTGTGAGGGGCAGTGGCCACAACACACAACCCAGGGGGTCAACTGCCCCCAGCGGGCACAGGGGAGAGGTGAGAAGGTCTTCAGGTGCTGAATTCTACCTGTAGCTATTCTGCTTTCACAAAGCTTGAACCTTTTTCCCTAAAACCAGTGGAAAATTCCCTTGCAGACCGAGGCATCAGCGAGTGCTGCACTGAGCGATGCAAGGGAAGAATAAACAGCACAGGAAAAAGGTGTGTGGGAAAATGAGCATAAGGCCCTGTGTCATCCCCTACAGCCATGGCTCATCCATCCAAATTCCAGAACAAAGGAACAATCACTCCACCAGTAAAACCACAACCAAAGTACAAATATCTCAGCGATGGGGAGTGATTTATTTCCTCTCCCTTCCCTGCAAGATGAGGAACAAAGAGTGGAAAATGTTTGCAAAGCTGTTAAGATGAGGCATTTTCAGGCACTGAGGCTCTTTTCACCAGCCATGTACAGTTACTCCCTTTTTTAGATGACACGGAGCAGTGCAGACATAATTCTATTTGGATTTCTTAGTACAGTTGCAGTATTTAAGGTGACACAAAATCCCTTTCAGGAGCCTGTCAGTTCCTGAACGACTGTTTGGGAGCACTTTACTGGAGCAGGAGGGTTTTTGGCAAGCAGCAGGGGAGCAGGGAAAACAGCGCAGGAGGTGTTGCAGGAAACTTCACGGTCCATCATAAACACTTCCCCAGTCAACACAGGTTCAGGACTTTGAACAAACCATCTATTGAGTCAGGCACTGACAGATGTGTGCAAAAAACTCGGCATGCAAAATATCATGCAAAGTATCTCATATATTCAAACAGAGTGAAAAAAAAATGGAGGTAAAGCCCTCGTTCCCTGAAGTTTCTGCAGATCCTGGGTGGGACCTCACCAATGTTTGTTGTGGACCTCCTTTCATTTTTTTTTTTGTATTTGCATGGCATGTGCTTTGTCCCTCTCTACAAATACCCCTCCTGGCATTTTGTTGTCTGGTGCTCTAGAGAAGAAGAAAAACTGTGGCACATCAGAGAACAAGGGGCTGGGGCTTAGTCCATCTGAGGACACAGAGACTCAGGGCCGTGGCTTTAAAATGGGCCTTGAAAATGAGAGGCAGTGGAATAAATTGAGAATTACTTGATGTTACCGTGGCATTGACTTCAGAGGCAACTGTCAGCTCTCTTTGAGACAGAACAGCTCTTGGTAAGGGTGTTTGTGGCACAGAGAGAGTGTCAGTGAAAAGGAGCGATGCTCTGGTATCAGGGAATCATGGAATGGTTTGGATTGGAAGGGTGACCCTTCCAAGGTCACCTCATTCTACCCCCCTGCCATGGGTAGGGACACCTTCCACTAGCCCAGGTTGCTCCAAGCCCTGTCCAACCTGGCCTTGGGCACTTCCAGGGATGAGGCAGCCACAGCTTCTCTGGGCAACCTGTGCCAGGACCTCCCCACCCTCAAAATGTAAAATACGCAGGGGTGCAGAGGGACAAGGGAAAGCTTTATTCCACAAGGAGCAGACGAGCAGGGGAGACATCTCCATACCTTGCAATATCCTTGGCAATCTGCTCGTTGAGGCAGTTGATGAAGGCCATGGAGCTGGTCCCTGGGATGTAGCTGCCGGTGAGGGCGGAGTGGAGCTGCAGGGCCAGCCCCCTCAGCAGTGGGTACATCAGCACCGCCAGCGTCAGCACCTCCAGGAGACACCAGAGGGGGTGGGAAGAACCCCGGTGAGGGTGGGAGGGGAAACACTGCACTTTGGAAAACTCAGCATTTACATCGTCTGTGGCCGGAGGGACATATCCAGGCTCCTTTCCACAGTGCAGTGACCAGCTGGGATTTAGGGGAGAACATCCTCATAAAGGGATTAATTCCACTCCAAAGGGGACAATCCCATGCTGTGCCAAGAGCTTGGGGCAGGAGAGGGGCAGTTTGGAGGCTGTATCAGCCCAGAGGTGCCCAGACCTCGGCTGTGGGAGGTCACCCCTGGACTAACAGGGGTTACAGCCCCCCATCCCGGCTCAGCAGCCAGGACTGGTTTTCCACAGAAGAATAAATACACGTTTCTATGCAAAAAAAAAGGAACAAGAAGGGAATGGCTCCCACACCGAGCACATCTTTCCTGCTGAGGACACATCCTGCAGCCACCCTTCAGCCGTGTGCCAAGAGTGAGGCACATCCATCCCTCTGGGAAATGGGGGACCAGGGCCCTCTGCCTCCCTGGGGATGTGGGAAGGAGAAGAGCAGTGTGTCACATAGTGTGTCCATGGAAAACAGATTTGGGCTGGAGCTTGAGGGGGGACCAGAGCCCCAGCTTGTGCACCTGGAGAGCTCTAATCCTGCCCTGTCAGCCCAGGATGATTATTCTCCTCTGCCACAGCTGCTGTGCAGCCCACCCAGGCCATGCTACAGCCTGCAAGGGAGGGCAAGACTTCAAGACAGCTTTTAAGTTCATTTCATCCAAATTACCTGATGCTAACAGTGAAACTGGATCCTTTTGGGCCCAGAAATCCTAATGGCACATCCCAGGTCTGCAGGGCTGCACAAACAGCCCCGCTCTCCCCGTGGCCTGGCAGGGCACAGCAACAAGTGGGGTTTGCTGTGCGTTAGCTGTGATTCCTGGCAAGCCCCGTGGCTGCTGCTTGTGCTCACATGCCATAAACAGACTCATAAAAATATATCATTATCTCAGCAGGGATGCTGCTGGAGAGGGAGAGGAATCTGGAGTGCTGAGGAACAGGCAGGGATGGGGCCGTCCGGGGCTGCAGCACTCGCAGGGTCTCACAGCTGCTCTTCCCTTTGTCTTTTGTCTTGTTTTTGACACAAACAGCATCTGGCCCCGATTCAGCTACAGTGATTAAAACATGCTTATAAGACTAAGAATATATTCCTTTTCCCCTCTCATTTCCACTCTCCTTTGTCCTCTGAAAATCCTCCCATTACAGTGTCAACGTCAAATTCTTTTAAAAAAAAAAAATTGAATTAAAAATCTCTCTTGTCACCACAAAGTCAAGAGCTCTTTTCCATTTGGAAAATGACTGATGTGTTCTACTGCTTGTCTCCTCTTTTCCAGTCCGTTTGAGGAAATATTCTTTGTTATCACAAGGTTCCTTGTAATAATTTTTAGAGCTCCTTCTGTGCTCTTTTTTCCCATTAAGCCATTTAAAAAACATACAACAAATCCCAGGAGCTACTTAGAGAATTACAAGCCAAACAGGGATATGCTGGTGTACCTATTTTTCCAGATTAAAATGTAATCATGCTCCTGGCTCAGGAAAAAAAATCCAACCTGTTCGGCCTGGAGATCATTAATCTTCTTGGAAGATGTATGTGCATAAATCCCCAGGACCATTTATGATTGAATATTAGTACAAATATGAGCACTCTTTTGGGGGGGGGGATGTTTCCCTCCTTTTTATCTCTGAAAAGAAAGATAAAAGACCTCCACCCCCTTTTTTTTTTTCCCTAGAATAATTGTATTTGCTAAGGGATGGTGGAAAAGAGGAGTGAAACTTCAGGATTCCTGCCTGATAAACCAAATAAACTCGTGATTGCCAAAATATTGAACAAAACTGAAAACACCCCTGTCAAATTTTAAGCACTTCACTGAAAAGAACTGAACAGCAAAATGACAGAGAGACTCAGAGATTTCTGCAATATTTTTTTTGGCTTTGCTGAACTAAAAACAGCTTTAGAATCACCACGTTAGGATTTTCTGCCTAGTTTTGATGAGACTGTGTTAAAAAAAAACCCAACAAACAACACCACCCAAACACAACTCGTGGCAACGCTGAGTTTGCCCTGAGCTTCCTGAGAGCAAGCGGAAAAAAAAAAACTCCTTGGAAATTTGCTTTGCTCTCGGCAGAGATGGGGAGGACATTCCTCCTGCGAGATGGATCCGTGCAGAGGTTCCCTTACAAAGGTACAGGCAGGTATTTCCATGGTTGTTTGGTGCGGGTCGATGTCCCCAAAGGGTCACCCGTGTCCCCCCCATCCCCATCCCGGTGCCAGAGCCCCCCCATCCCACTTACCAGCAGCAAAGTGCCCCGGCCTGGCCGGGGCCAGCCCTGGGCAGCGGATGGCAACGGGCAGCGCTGGCTCAGCCACTCCATGTCCGTCCCCTCCGTCCCTCCACCTGCTCTGCCCGAGCTGGGAATGCTGCCTGGGCAGGCTGCCCATGCGAGCACTAACTCCTCCTCCTCCTCCTCTTCCTCCAGCCTGGTACCCGCCTGCCTGCCCGGCGAGGGGCTGGGGCAGGGACAGGGGACAGCACAGTGTTCTGTCCCCTCCTGCCACCCCGAGCCTTGGCATCCCCCTCTCTGCACCTGCCTGACCCGCGGGGCTGGGGGGATGGATTGTCCAAAAGTGGGGTCCAACCATAGCAGGGACAAACAAACCCCTGGGTGGTGTATTATCAAACTCTTGCCCCAACGTGTGCTGGGGAAATCTCTCTCTCCAGTGTTGTCCCTGGTGCTCTGAGACCTGCTGATGCCACTTGTCACTTTTGCTTTGAATTCCCCATCTATAAAACAGTTATTTTCTCAGATTTAATGTTGTCAGGGCTCTGTACTTTTCAGTTCTCCCTGTGCTGTCCCCGATGCTCTGAGACCTTTGATGCCACTTGTCACTTTTGCTTTGAATTTCTCATCCATAAACCAGTTATTTTCTCAGATTTAATGTTGCCAGAGCTCTGTACTCTTTGGATAGAAACCGTCAGGCAGCTGCCAAGTCCTGTTGTGTTGTTTGTGCCTAAAACCTCCAGCAAGGAGGAACCGAGTGCTGCTCTCTGTCTCACACCATAACTTCATTTGGTTCCTGCTGTAACTTGATTGTGTTCCTGCTGTAACTTTGCTGGGTTCCTGTC